GAACATTCATCACGATTGAAATGAAGCAGTAGGATCTGGTACTACTGATCTGCCCTGGGCCTGCTTGTGATTGTTTAAATGGTTGCACCCGTTTGACCCTAATGTTTTTAACCTGTAACTTTCTTTTCTGATCTATACTAACTGTATGATTTTTTGCTCAGTGAGTCTATTAGAATTCCTATTGGAGAGACCACTTCCAGCGTCGCCATGGCAGCCAACGCTACCACTAACCCGTCTCAGCTGCTATCTCTAGAGCTTGTGGACAAGTGCATAGGATCAAGAATTCATTATGATGACGAATGATAAGGAAATTGTTGGCACGCTTCTAGGATTTGATGACTTTTGAAATCACATCAGAAGGAAGGATTAGTAAATTATACCAGATTTTGCTAAATGGAAATAATATAACAATGCTGGTACCTGGAGGAGAAGGACCTGAAGTATGAATGGATTCATTTGATTCCCCACGATAGATTCTGTTTTGTCTTATAATGACAAAAAACTATAATTTTAAAAAATCTTTTCAATGCCTGGATTCTGTGAAGCCAAGTTTCCCGTTAAAGGGGAATGCTTTGAAGAGACATTGTAAATGCCACTTTTAAGTTAATCATGTTTATCTTGGGGGGGAAAAGAATATCGAAGAAAATAAAGGTGTTTTTGTTTTTAAAAAATTTATTAGAAATGAAGCTGCCAAGGGCTTGAGGGATCCTCCAGATATAAGCCTTAATGCTCTTTTGTAGCCACCTTTCCACATGATGACTCCCGTATGAATTTGTAAGACACAATCCAATGAATCAGCAACATAATGGATACCATGCCCTGCAAACAAACTCTTTATGACTTGTGAATATGTAATACTAAACCGTTCTTCAAACAGAAACCTATCCTAATTAAAAAACTTTCTACTAGGGTTTTTTGTTTCTTTGGGGTGGGGAGGTTGTTGTTTTGCAACTTGTTCACAATGATTAGAAAGGATCATATCTATCTTCTGAGAATTTAGAGAGGTAACTTAATTCTAGTGGTATAATTGGATGCAAAAAAAAAAAAATGGAGGTTCAAGTGTAAAACGTAATCCTTAACATCTATTTTGGCAATCTGAGCCTTTTGTGCATTTTCTGGATTTGACTATGCCAAATGTAGAAATAGTAAAGTACAGCCCTGGCCAGTTTGGCTTAGTGGTTAGAGCATCGGCCTGTGCACCAGGGAGTCCCGGGTTTGATTTTGGCCAAGGGCATGTACCTCGGTTGCAGTTTGTCCCCGGCCCCAGTTGGGGTCATGCAGGTGGCAACCAGTGTGACTCTCTCACATCAATGTTTCTTTCTCTCTTTTTCTTCCCTCTCTCCCTCCCGCTCTATCTGAAGATAAATGCAAAAAAGGCCTCAGGTGAGGATAAAAAAATAAATATTAAAGTACAAAAGGATACATCATTTAAAATTATAAAACATAAAGCAAATTCTACCAGTACAAGTATCTAACTTTGTGAGCCTAGCCAAGTTACCTTTGTCCTATAGTATCCCTACTTCTTCATTAAAATCACCACACTGATTCCCAAAACCTAGTGTCCCCCCTCACCACTTTCTGTTTCCAATTTCCAACCCATTTGGCTAAAAGCTTTGTAGGAATTACTATATTCCTGCCATTATAGTTTCTGTCCATTTTGAAATACTTTCCAGCTTTTACACATCCTCTATATAAAGTGGGAGAGCTACAAAGTCTTAATATCGCAGTAGTCGGAAATACCATGAATTAACCTGCTTCTTGGTGGCATGTTCTCTCATAGCATAGATAAACCCTTCCTTGAGGTTTATCTAGAGTGCTCTTGGAGATGATAGTACTGAAATCAAGGCTGAGATACAAAGACTCATTTCTCAAAGTTTTTTAAAAAATATTTTTATTGATTTTTGAAGAGAGAAAGAAAAGGAAACACCAATGTAAGAGGGAAACATCAATGGGCTTCCTCCTGTATGCCCCCTACCAGGGCATGCGCCCTGACCAGGAATTGAACCAGCAGCCTCTCAGTAAATGGGATGATGCCCAACCAACTGTGCCACACTGGTCAGAGCAACCAAAGTTTTTAAATATTGGTTTTTATTTATTTTTTTCTTTTATTGATTTTAGAGAGAAAAGAAGGGAGAGGGAGATAGAAACATCAATGAGAGAGAACATCGACTGCCTGCCTCCTGCATGCCCCCCACTGGGGATTGGACCCTCAACCTGGGCATGTGCCGTGACCAGGAATCGAACTGCTGACCTCGTGGTGCATGGGTCGACTGCTGAACCACTGAGCCATACTGGCGTGGCTGGTTTTTATTATTAGATATCAAGCATATCAAAATGTATGGCCCTGACTGGCTTGGCTCAGCGTTTAGTGTCAGCCCTCGGACCAAAGAGTCACAGGTTTGGGTCTAGTCAAGGGCACGTACCTCGGTTGTGGTTCGGTCCCCAGCCCTCGTCGGGGTCATGTGGGAGGCAACCAATTGATGTGTCTCTCTCACATCAATGTTTCTCTCCTTTGTCCTCTTTCTCTCTTCCCCACTCTGTCTGAAAATAAATGGAAAAATACATTCTCGTGTGAGGATTAAAAAAAAAAAATGTATGACCACTCAGCTTTAATAAACCCAAACTTTTCTCACATTTGATGTATTTTAATGAACACATTGCAAATACAATTGAAGGTTCCCCTGTGTACATCTCAACCCCATTTTCCTCCTACCTCTCCAGATGTAAAACAAGCCATATTTTGGTGTTTATCACTCTCATACATGTTTTTAGTATATGAATACACATCAATTTTTGTTTTCATGTTCTAAAATGATTAAATCTTATCACACAGCACAAATCACTTGGCCATTTTAACTCATTGTTTTTGAGATGTAGTCAAGTTAATACACATACTTTGTATTAATTCATTTTAATAGCCAAATACTACAAATATACCACAATTTTTATCCATTTTCTAATGGACATTGGTTCCAAGTTATTACGATAAAAAACAATACTGAAATGAACTTTCAGTGTATGTCTCCTTGAGTACACATGCAAAGAATTCCTGCAGAATGTAATACCCAGAGACTGGGTTAGTGAACAAGCATCTTCAAGTAAATTAGTTGTTGCCAAACCACTCTCCAAAGTATAACTTAAACTTCACTGCCACCAGGAAAGACAAGAGCTCATTGCTCCAGACCCATTGGCATGTAGAAGTGTCAGGTTTTTGTTTTAATTTTTGCCCATTTGACGGCAGTGAAACGGTATCTCAATGTTGTTTTAATTGTAACTCTTTGATTACCAGTGAAATTAAACATCTTTTTATGTGAATGAATACTCAGGGATCCTCACTGTGACTTGCTCATTCATATTCTTTGGTCATTTCCTTGATTTATATGGAATCCTTTGTCAGTTATGTTGGTACACAAACATAAGTTTGAATTTACTATACTCAAATTTATCAATCTTTCTCCTTTTTTGTGCTTATGTCCATTCCAATGTCATATTCTTTGCTTTTCTATAGTTTTTGAATATTAAACAGCGTCATCTATAAAACTAATTTGATAATTTTAATAGAAGAATCTTGAATAGATTTCATGGTCTAACAGCTGCATACCATTTGTGTGATTCTGGTATAAGCATGAGTATTAAATTTCATTCCAAAACACAGTGAAGTATACCAGACTTCTAATACTTTGATATGTATTTTACACACTTTGCATCCTCATGGATATAAGTACAGTATATGGGTCAAAAAATTCCTTATACTATAATTTAGCCAAAACAATGGAGAATATTTCAACATTAAATATCAAGCAGAAATAATGATTTTTAACCATACTTGACTGGTATGTGCAATTTAAACCAATGATAAATATCCAATTAGGCTATAAAATGTTCATAATAAAAGATTTCCTATTAAATATCGGTTAGCTTGCCTGGCCGGTGTGGCTCAGTGGTTGAGTATCGACCCATGCATGGTTCAAATCCTGGTCAGGGCACATGTCCAGGTTGTGGGCCAAATTCCCAGTGTGGGGCATGCAGGAGGCGGCCAATCAATGTTCTCTTTCATCGATGTTTCTATCTCTTTTTCTTCCTCTCTCTCTAAAATTAATAAAGAAAAAAATGTTTTAAATAAAAAATAAAAGAAATGAAATTTTTAAGGTGGGCTGGGACCCGGGCAGGCAGTGGCATCCTCTGGACAGCAGAGGGGGCTCTGGGAAAAATAAATGAATAAATATCAGTAAGCTTTTATATATCTATTTATATGTTTTATATATCTATATATCTATTCCTCACATACATAGATTGCTTTCATAGCCATTCTTTATTGCCTCTTAAAGGATCAAACATCATAATCAGTTATTAAGAGTTTTAGGCCCTGGCCAACTTAGAGTATTGTCCCAATGTGCCAAGTTGTGGGTTTGATACCTAATCAGGGCACATATAAGAATCAACCAGCCCTGGCAGGTTTGGCTCAGTGGTTAGAGCGTCGTCCTGCGGTCAGGAGAGACCCAGGTTCGGTTCCCACTAAGGGCACGTACCTCGGTTGCAGTTTGTTCCTGGCCCCGGTTGGGTCGTGTGGGTGGCGACCACTCGATGTGTCCCTTTCACATCGATGTTTCTCTCTCTCTCTCCCTCCCTCCCACTCTATCTGAACAAAATATCAAAAAAATGTCCTCGGATGAGGATAAAAAAATAAAAATAAATAAACCAATGAATGTATAAATAAGTGGAACAACAAATTGTTTCTCTCTCTCTCTCTGTTTCTCTCCCTTCCTCCCTCTCTAAAAATCAAATAAAAAAATTTTTTAAAGAGTTTTAAGTAGACTCACTGGTATCCATAGTTTAATGCACCTATATATACATTTTATATCAGAGTCAAAATTTAAACCCAAGATATTCCATTTAAATGTCTTGTTGAAATTTCATTAAATGATTGCCATTTCCCAGGGATTAAAAAAATAATAAGATCAATGGAGATTTAAATTCACTTCAAATATTTTTTGAGCATTTATTCTAAGCCAGGCATTAAGGATAAGGGAGATATCCTGCTTTTGTGGAGTTTACAATCTAGCAAAGAATATAAAGATGATAAAAGAAAATATTTTCCTTTGTTTGCTGCCTCATATTTTTGCAGGTTGATTCGATAACCATTTCTGGTGAGAAAAGTCCGCTTCCATCTTTAATTTGAAGAGTCATCTATACCTTCATACTGCAAAGAAAAAGTATTTTTAATATTGCCCTGAATATGTAAACACTCAGTAGAAAACTGAGTAAACCATTTAAAATTTAAACATAAATGACTTCAGAACAGTATGTTTCAGTTATTCACTAGAGCTCTTTCTTACACAGCCCTAGATCAGTGCTATTCAAATACTATTGCAGTCAAAGGGTTCTCTATAGACTATATTCTCATGTTTTAAAATTAAGTAAGTTTTTTAAATCACAGGTAAATTTTCCTAATCTAGCATTACTACCTGCTTTGTAATTGTCTGACTCCGCAAAAATCAGAAGGCACTAATGGATAGCCAATCCATCCCCATGGTGCTCTGAGTGAAGACAAGTCAGCTTTGATATATGATGGACTAAAATCCCACTACCTAAGGCTCCAAGCAGTGAGAGGAACAACCATCAAAGTTTATCTCCAAACATTTTAACAGAAATTTTAATAAATGGTCTGAGAAGTATTTATTAAAGACATCAAGTGACCTTTATAGGAATCACTACATCATGGTTCTTATTACCATATTTTGCCTAATTCTAGAATTAAACTAGGCTTTAGGGTAAAAGATAATGAGGGACAGGCTAATTGGAAGATGCATAAACAATCAACAGAGAATCTCTGACAATCTATAACGCAGATATAAGAAATTGCCAGGTAGTGCAAAGTCTAAGAATATACACATGGACACTGATAAAATAGCTAGCATCTACTGAGCATTTACTACATGCTTAACAATGTTCCAAGCCCCACACATTTATTATCTAATCTTTAAAGTTAAGCAGTATTCCTTTGAGTCAGATACTAGTATTATCTTCTAAGATGTAAAGACACTAAGACACTGAGATGTTAAGAAACTTGCCAAGGTTACATAGCTGGTTAAGTGACAGAAGGGTTTGAATCCATTCTCATGCCAGAACCCATGTATAACTACTATGTATGCTACCTCTCAACATCTTTAATTGACTTTTTAAAAAATTACATTTGTAGCACCTTAGCAGAACTAGCCATGTCAACAAAGCTGACTTTTCAAAGATTCACATGTATGTCAAAGCTTCTCAATTTCAACATAAGCCTTACCATAAAAGTAAAATGTTGTCATCATCTATTGTATATCCTGGGCTCATAGCACCCAAGAGTTTCAAGGCTGGGAAAGAAGTTTCTAGAAAGAAACTCAGATCTGACTTTGGTCTCCTGAAACTTCATTTCTGCAAAAGACATAGCCAAAAGCTAAAAAGTATTGAAAGTGCTGATGTTACTTTGAATTATTTGTATTTCCTGTATTTTACCCTGTATATGTACCCCCACTCTCTGCTAAAACATGCAGGCATAGGTTAAAAAATAAAAATACAAGCCTGTCCCGTATAGGTTGCTTAAAAATACCTTTCTAAATTATACAATACATGGATATAACAAAGTCAGAAAATACAGGTTATAAAGATCACCCATAGAACCCAATTCTAGAGACAATAATCTCTAGTTATTTGAGTACATCATTTCAGATGATTTCTCAAGTAAATAAGTACGTACAAACATTTAAGCAGAAAAGGGATTATAACTTGTTTTAAACTTAATGTATTATAAATACCCTTCCATTTCAAGAAAGGTAAACCTGTGTGGAATATAATGAACTAAACAAACTGCTGAACAAAATTAACCCAGAGACACAGAGGTGGGGTACAGACTGACAAGCCTCAGAAGAGGGGGGTTGAGGGGGGGAGAGATAAGTAGTATTCCAAGAAGCAGAATTCAATTCCAGGTGTTTGTCTTAGCTTTAGTCTGCTCAGAGCATGTGTTTAATCAGGATAATCAGCTGAAACACGGACTTAACATGCATTTCATCATGGCAAACTGTGAATGACTGTTGATGGGCAAACCAACACCAGCTCCTAGTCCCTAAACCTGGAAAACCCTGTTAAGTTTAGAACTAAGGCTTTTTCAGCTACCAAATTTCAGCCACTAAGAATACTGAGATCCACAATTTGCTAAGTGATTGGAAATCCAAATGAAGTAAAGGTTTTTCTTTCACACTTACCTCGGATATCAGATGAATCTAGCTTCTATCTAGGAATGAAGTTGAACTGTAGATAGGATCTATCAACTGCCTAGCATAATCTCTGGAAAATTAAAAATTAAAAAATACACAAAGGTTACAATTACAAGACTTGAATGTACACCAGCCTACTCCACACCAAGTCATACCCATAGAGCCTCAAGGAAAATTAACAACAAGGAAAATTGCGCATTATTTAAATCTCCATTCAGTAATATAAATTGACCCACCTATTTGCAAATTTGTATCAAATGCTAAAACTCAGTTTTAGATTAGGGCAAAACTTCTACACAAGCTCAGCTTCTAATATAAATTTACAAGTTTGGGTAAAACTATACACTAAGTCTAACCATCCTCTGAAAGGTTATAACAGTCAACAATCTCACAATAAGAGAACAGGTATGCAAAAGGAAAGAGCCATGGCTGGCTGCAGAGCTTGGCAGCCATGCGGGGAAATGCAGGGAGATAAGGCACAAATGGCATAGGTTACTGCCAGGTGTGTGTGACTGCAGAACACATGTAACCAGTCATTAAATTCTCAAAAATTCTTACCAAACAAAAAAAGGAAAGAAGCTAAGATTCACATAAACGAGAAGGAAATGCAAAATAGCTTTTTCAAGGCATGTTTCAATTTCAGTTGAGCCAATACCAATTATATTTAACCATTACTATCGGTAAACTTTTTATCAGTTAACTAAAGAAAACCTTTCCTTGACATAGCAAAATTGAATTTGCATCACTTGGAGCTCAAGTTGACCACAAGATGGCAATATAAGAAATTTTAATGTCCTCTTCCAGAGTCTGTTAATCTGAATTTTCAGATGGAACAGACTGGACACAAAGTTCATCATTACTGGCAACCTTCAGACCTTCAACCTTCAGTCCCTATTCTTCACCTAATTACTAACTAGAAATTTTTTTTCTCTTACATTTAATAATCACTTACAACTTATTAACTAGAAATATTACAATTATATTTTTATCATGTTCCTTTTCATGCAGCATTGTGGAGATTTAAAACTTCATAGCCTCAAATATAATCTAGTTGGAAAGGCAAGACTCATGAAAATTATGTCCATAATAAGTACCAAATAAGTGGTAGAGAGAGTAGATAATGTTAGGAAATAATCATTGGGCAAGGAAGACTTCATGAAGAAAAAGGTAGGTCTTGAATGAGCCTTTAAAGTGCACTTAAAATAATGCTGCACTGGTCCGGCCAGTGTGGCTCAGTAGACCAAGCATTGTCCCATGAACTGAAAGGTCCCCATTCAATTCTCAGGGCATATGTTCAGGATTCAGGCTCCATACCCTGTAGGGGGCATGCAGGAGGCAGCCGATACATGTCTCTTTCACACTGATGTTTCTTTCTCTCTCTTTCTAAAATCAATAAAAACATATTTTAAAAATAAATCCAGTTTTGTCAAAACTCCCTATTTGCAATTCAACATGCCACCACCTGCATGAAATAAGAAGCAGAGGTACAGGAGATGGTTTGCTTTAGAACCTAATGAGAATATACTCATTGAAAAGAAACTGAGGTGTGCCTGGCTGGTATGTCTCAGTGGTTGAGCATCGACCCATGCACCAAGAGGTCATCAGTTCGATTCCTGGTCAGGGCACATACCCAGGTTGTGGGACCAATCCCCAGTGGGGGGCATGCAGGAGGCAGCCAATTGATGTTTCTATCTCTCTCTCCCTCTCCCTTCCTCTCTCTCTAAAATCAATAAAGAAAAAATTAAAAAAAAAAAAAGAAACTGAGGTGTTTGTTAAGTATCTCAAAGTGTTACTCCTTTGTTGTCCTGTACTTGAATGCCTTAATTATGTAAAATGTTTTCAGATCAGCAGCATTTGAGATTAACTAAAGGAATGTAGATAGGGAGCAGGACAGTCAGAGGTTTCTATAGTTTTAATGTCTACCTCAAAACACCATGATTCAAATATATCTTACAGAATAATTATAGATTTAAAGGTGCAACTTCTCTGTCTCATCTCACAAACAAAACCCAGATTGCAAAGGGCCAGGTCTTTGGTCTTAGCCCATGCCATAAAGCCTAGCACATAATTCCTGATGTTAAATGTGTGATGCCTTTCCCAAAGTGTGACATTCCCTGCAGGATTCTAGTCATGCGTCAGCAAGTGCCACTCTACCACGTGAAAACCACTTCATATTTACTGAGTATTTACTTAGTATAAAGTAAATATTTTGTAAATACTTCATGAACAATCAATGGCCTAGTCATTTTGTTCCCTGTGAGAAGTAAGTGCTTCAAAGTACTGGAGCTCATGGCCAATGTGAATGGATATATCATGAAGGCCTAATATAAACTAAAACTGGTTAATACTAAATCAACTGATGTTTGTTTTATTTATTATACTACCAATCAATTTCATTCAATGCCTACTGTGTATCTAGGAATTTGGGCTACTACAGTAACTCAAACAACCTCCCATTTTTATTTATTTAACTTATTTAATTTTTATTTTTTTTATAGAAAAGACACATATACATGTGACAGAGAACATTTTAAGGCATCATATCTTGGTCAGAATTAAAGCACTTGCCTTTATGGTCCCATCAGCCTGTAACCATTTCTACTGAGAATGTCCAAATCCAAGCCCACTTGATTTTCAGGGGGTCCACAGCGGATGTAGTAATAGAGGCTTTCACAGTGCCACTTCTGGGCCGGCACACAGGGTGCTGAAGACCCAGGTCTTTCTTCTTCAGTGGATTCCATCTTTAACCTGAAGCAAAGGAAAATACAAAACTTTGTAGAGGAAGTATATGCTAAATTGGTTGCTTGGCACAGTTCTCTTTCAGAGATAGCTCTGTAGGGTATTACTTTCAGAACAGACTTCCAAGTTTTGTTCCCTACCCGCTGTCAGCTATTTCAGCCAAGAACGGTGATTGTTACCACCTCTCATTGCAGGAGTAATCTACTCGGAGCATATATGAAGTAAAAGCAGTGAGATCAGAAACATGACTAAACATGTGGTTTATCCCAAGAGACTACCATTTCAGCCAGTCCTACGCTGGTGGAGCAAATGAAAATATAGAACCTGAGAGCTTCGGGTCAAAACAGCAGGAAGAAATAACTTCAAATCAGAATGCAAGAAGAAGTAAAGCCTTCTACTCTATTAACTTGATATTGCATCTATTTCATACTTTGCCAATCTTAGAATATATAAAAAACTTTTCATATATTACCTCATTTTGCAAATACTATGTAACCTCCATTTTATAAATAATGTAAGCAAGGTTGGAGAGATTAAATGGCAGGTAACTTAGCTTAGTGGTTAAGATAATGGATTTAAGTTGGACAGAACTGGATTTGAATTTTAAGTCCCCTACCCTATTTGCTATGACCTTGGGCAAATTATGCAACTTCCTTCAGTCTTAGATTCCTTTTCTGTAAAATGAGGACAAATACCACTTACCTCTTATAACTGTTGTGAAGATTAAGGGGGTAAAATATAAAATGCTTTAATGTTAAATATGTTGTTTCTATTAAACGTCCTAGCTCAACCACCTTAATGAGTAGAAATGAAGATATTCTGCCTAAAAAATCCACACTTTTCATAACAATCTTGAAGCCAGGAAAAGGTTACTGATATACCCATAAGGTCCCTTCCAAATCCAGGATTTGGCATCTTTTAAGAAAGAATTTACTTCCCCCTTCCCCTCATTCCCTACCTTAAGAGTGAAGACTCCAGTGTAGTCTATGTAAAGTTATTCAACAACAAAACCATACTTTCATTGGAAAGAAACTAACTTTTTTCCCAACCAGCAGAGCCTCCTAACTGGAAGACTAGATGTTTCACAAGACATGATCTTAGTCTTCTAAGACTTAAAAAAGCTTTAGAGAAATTCCCAGAGGCTTCCTTTTTTATTTTGCATGTTTATATCCCCAAAAGCAGCATTTCCATTTTTCCTAACTTAATGCTAAGATAGAATTTAGTCACTCAACATCATAATTTCAGGAATATATCCAACACGCATTTTGCTAAGTAAACACTGCAAGCATGCTTCTTTTGCCCTTATGAATACAGACTGTGTGGTGTCTGCTTAATGTTGGCATTCCTTCTCAACATTAGATCCCTTAAACTGAAAATGTACTCACATAAAAGCCATCAGCACAGTGTTCCTTCTAATACAAAATTCTTTATTGCTCAATCAAAATATTTATGGTGTTGGTTGGTTTCTAGTCATCACTATTTGCACAAAATAAATATAAATAACAGGAAGCATGCATATTGAGAGTCCTTATAAACATGTACATATCAAAACCCAACTGAAATGTCCTATGTGACAACATTCTGTATACAAGTTTACTCATTTTGGAGGAAATAATGAGACTGCAAAGTACCTAAATGACTTAAATGTCCAACAATAAAAATGAAATAAATTAGTTATGCACATATATTAGATTACTATATAACCATTATATAGAATGTGATCACTCTTTATTTACTCATTTAGAAATCCGAGGCAGAAGATACATGGTACATTATATATAGAGAGAGAAAAGGGGAGTGTAAGTACATATATTTGCTTATATCTGCATGAAATATCTCAGGAAGGCCCAGCTGGTGTAGCTCAGTGGTTGACAATCAACCCATACACCAAGAGGTCCCTGGTTCGATTCCAGGCCAGGGCAATCGCCCAGGTTGTTGGCCAAATCCCCAGTGGGGGGCATGCAGGAGGTGGCCAATCCATGTTCTCTCTCAGCGCTGTTTCTATCTCTCTCTCCCTCTCTCTTTCTCTCTCTCTAAAATCAATAAAGAAAAAAATTTTTTTAAATGTTTATCTCTCAGGAAGGATACACAAGAAACTGCTAACACTGTTATTGGGAAGTGGAATCAACTGGCTTCGGAGACTTCATTGTATATACTTTGATTCCTTTTGAATTTTGAACCATATGAATGTATTAGCTATTCAAAAAAATAACATTAATTTAATGAAGCTTCAGAAAGATAAAAATGTTGGGAGGTCTACCACTGACTATCACTACATTCCATCTACTAGTTTGTCTTTCTCACACCTTCTGCCTATAAGGATAAAAATATAG